TTTTGGGGGTGAACCAATGTAAGGAAGACCTTTCTCTGTCTCTCTCACTGTCTATGCCTGTCAAAAAAAAAAGGGGGGGGGGACTCGGGCAGGTGGGTGCTGCGGCGCGGTGGGTTAAGCCGCTACTTGGAGACTCCTGCCTCCCGTACCGGAATGCCAGGGATGGCGTCCCTCCTCTGCCTTCGGCTCGTCTTCCTGCTCCTGCATGTTGGCGGGTGGGGGCAGTGGTAGCCAATGATGGCCCAAGTAGTTGGTTCCTGACACTCATTCAGAGTCCCAGAGAGAGTCTGTGCCTCCCGGCTTTGGCTTGGCCAAGCTCTGGCTGTTGGGGCCATATCGGGGAGTGAATCCATGGATGGAGATGGCTGTCCGTGTCTCTGCTTTTCAAATAAATACATCTTAACAAACATTGTGAAGTAATGGCTTAGTAATAATATGAGGGCATTTCTGTAGACAGGTGTTCAGAGATAGCTTCCCCATGGAATTCCGTGAGCCCTAGGCAGTAGTATCTAGTTATGCTGTAATGCTGTATACTGAGTGTTCCCAAGCATTCAGGCTATACCCTACATGGTGCTCCTGCCATGAAATCTCAAAACCCTGGGGCTGAACTTTATTCTCTGGCCCTTTGTAGCTTGTTATCCATGAACTTGGCACACTTCATCAGTTTTTGCTGTACTCACCATGACAGCTAAGTGTTGTATTACTACATGCACCTTTCTTACCATGGCTTACACATTGCCAATCTGAAAATCTGAAATCTAAGCTGCTCCCATATCTGAAACTTTCTGAGCATGGATATGACACCTTGGATGGGAAATTCTGCATCTGTGCTCGTGTGACAAGTTGCAGTCCAAATGTGGATGCACCAAAAATATTGTATACAATTACCTTTAGGCTCTGTGTACAAAGTGTATGTGAAACACACATGAATTTCATGTTTGGACTGTGTCCCATCCCCAAGACATCTCACTGTGTGTATGAAAATATCCCCAAATCGGAACAAAATACAAATCTCTATACTCCTGGTCCCAAGCATTTCAGATAAGGAATATGCACCCCATAATAGTTACCCTTTTTCATCCAAATAACTGGTTTTCATCTTTTTATTCTTGATTCAGAGTTACTTTTCCCACTGGGGAAGATACAAAATTGAGCCGCCTCTTCGCTTGCCCAAGGCGTGCTACTGCAGAACCTCCAAGGCTTCTGTTGGCCATCTCTGTACTGTGGTCTCTAGTCAGGGTAGGAAGGGGGCTGGCCTGTGTCGTGTTGCCAGTACAGCTCCTAGACCTGTGCATTTTTGCTTTCTCCAAGAGCCTCAGAACTAAGGAACCCAGAGAGGCTGAGTGATCTTCTTTATTTGTTCTTTGTGCTTATCTAAAATTTTTAGCATTTTTACTGTGAATATGTTAATTTATTAATGATAAGAAAAAATTTGCTGGGGCTGGCATTGTGGCTCCACTTCTTTTTTTATTAATGATTTATTTCATTTGAAAGAGTTACACAGGGAGAGAAGGAGAGGCAGACAGAGGGAGAGAGAGAGAGAGGTCTTTCATTCGCTGGTTCATTCCCCAATTGGCCGCAACAGCTGGAACTGCACTGATCTGGAGCCAGGAGTGTCTTCCGGGTCTCCCGCATGTGTGCAGGGGCCCAAGCACTTGGGCTATCTTCCACTCCTTTCCCAGGCCATAGCAGAGAGCTGGATTGGAAGTGGAGCAGCCAGGATTTGAATCAGCACCCATGTGGGATGCTGGCACGGCAAGCAGTGGCTTTACCAGGTACGCCACAGTGCCGGCCCCAGCTGCTCCACTGCTGATCCAGGTCTCTGCTATGGCCTGGGGTAGCAGTGGGAGATGACCCAAGCCCTTGGGCCCCTGCAACCCAGTAGAAAACCCAGAGGAAGCTCCTGGCTCCTGGCTTCGGATTGGTGTGGCTCTGGCCATTTGGGGAGTGATCCAGAGGATGGAAGACTGTCTCTCTCTCTCTCTCTGCCTTTGCCTCTCTGTATTCTTTCAATTATATAAATAAATCTTTAAAAAGAAAATATTTGTTTTCAAACTGTATCAACAGCACTATGTGAGAATTGAGGTAAGAGTCAAAGATTATTAAAACATTAGTATGTCTATGCTTTTGGAAATAGTTTTATCAGCCAAGAGTACATGCCAACTAAGCATTTAATGGTTTGATGCTCATGATTTGAATACAAGCATGTGTTGCTTATGCATAGGATGTGTTCTGAGGAATGTGTCGGGTAATTTCTTACTGTGGAAACTCCACAGAGTGACTTAGAGAAACTCTGATGGCCGTAACATCACTAGGTGATGTGGTTTCATAGGACTACCATGGTTTATGGATTCCATCATTGATCAAAACATCATCATTGGGTGCATGAGTGTACTAAAAACAACAAACATATTTCAGGGCAGATACCATCGTGAATGGTAGTGTCATACTGTGAAATGGTGTCGTTTATTAAATGATCACCTTGTAGTGTTGATGAACCCCATTATTCAGATAAGAACACTGAAGCTTGCTTCTTGATTTGTCCCACAAACTCCACAGACAGACTATAATAGAATAACAGCCCATACTTAGTGCTCTTTGAATGCCAGGAGCTGTTTGATGTTTTTACATGACATCAAGTCTAGTGCAGGTGGCAAGAGGGAAAGTCTTTGGAACTTCTTCACTTAACCCTTCCCTTTGCCCTTCTTGGCCCTGGGAAAGTCATTTAACTTCTTCAGGTCTTCACATCCCCATGTGAAAATAAAGTAATAATAGCCATCTTTACAGGGTTCTGTGGGATACAGAAGGTCTATACGTCAAATACTTAGTACAAAGTGGTATATATTGTGAGCTATTACCAGAACTCTTTCAATTGTATAGCCCTGTGAGGCAGACATGAATGATATCATGCAAATGAATAGCTTTGCTTTTAGATAGCAAAACCATGGCCATGGACAATGGGAGGCAGAGCTGGACTTGAACTGTGGCCTGGAGGCGCTTCTCTCTGGGCTTGGAACCGGCTGTGTCTGCAGATGATGAACACCGTTATCTTTCATGTGATGAGCAAATTACTGATACACTTGGAAAGCGTGATGCCATAAAATAAATATCACGCTTTTGGAAAACAACAGGACCTGAACTACTTCCGTGTGTGCCTTTAAGAGTTTGAAAAAGTTGGCAGCTGTCAACGGATTCTACTGAATCGTACGTCCTCCCTGAGCGCGAGGGTGGAAGGCTTTCTTCTCTCGGGTGTTCGCTCCATCTTCCCCAACCCCAGTGCTCTACCTCGCTGGCGTCCTGTTGATTTCTCCATCTGAGGTCCCACAGTTGGGATGCAAAGCATTTTTTTTTTTTTTGACAGGCAGAGTGGACAGTGAGAGCGAGAGCGAGAGCGAGAGAGAAAGAAAGGTCTTCCTTTGCCATTGGTTCACCCTCCAATGGCTGCCATGGCCGGTGCACCGCGCTGATCCGATGGCAGGAGCCAGGTGTTTCTCCTGGTCTCCCATGGGGTGCAGGGCCCAAGGACTTGGGCCATCCTCCACTGCACTCCCTGGCCACAGCAGAGAGCTGGCCTGGAAGAGGGGCAGCCGGGACAGAATTCGGCACCCCGACCAGGACTAGAACCCGGTGTGCTGGCACCGCAAGGCGGAGGATTAGCCTAGTGAGCCGCGGCGCCGGCCCAGCAAGCATTCTTTTTCTCTGAGCCGTAATTGAAATCTCAGAAGCCGTTGACCTCAATGTAGACTTTGAATTCTTGTCCCCAAAATATTATAGTCTTGATGATGGTGCTTTAGATGGGACAGAGTCTGAGGGGAGGCTAACGTATAAATAGTTTGAGGTAATCCTCACAGGAGTGACAACAATGAGGCAGGCAGATGGAGAACTTATTAAATATCTAGATACTGATATGCGAGTGCTCTGGGTTGAATCAGAGGACTAGATGATGATTTAGGAATTGTATTATATCTGGGATCTTTGTTAAATAAGTAGATTTTGGCTGCTCTTGTCACAAAGTGTGAGATAAAACATGAATCCACTTTGCTATAGTACCTGTTATATTTACACATATCCTATAACATGCTGTAAGCCTCAAATACACACAATATAATTTATATAGACAAAGAATATTTTAATTGCAATCCAGTTGAAGCCAGTTCTGTGCTTCTTATTCTCATTGTTGGTTATAAATATCAAACTAACCATGTATCAATGGAAGGACTTCCGGTTTTCCCCTAAACATCTCCTCAATCCTGGCTGCTTAATAGGACCAGTGGCGGGGGCTTGTTTAAAAAAGTCCCGATATCCAGGTTGTAACCTTGGTCCTAACTGTAGGGTAGCACATGCTGGGGGAGGCCTCCAGCCTCAGTGTCTGACTGCAGCCGCTGGGTGATTCCCAGGTGCCTGCATGACTGTTTGACCGGCACACTGGCTGCTCATGTGCACCCCACGGACGATTGGCTTTGATACAACATCCTTTCTATCAGAGTGGAATTCGCTTCTCGCCCTCTGGAGCCTTGGCTCTCAGCACAGGAGCAAGCATCTTCGGTCAAGGAAGGACGTTCAGTTTGGCAAAATTAGGGCACAGGAGGAAAGACAAGGGACTGCTTAGCTTCTTCCGGGGCTCTCGGCAACCAGCTCATAGGCACCAGTTTGTCAGGGTAATACAAGCAAATTCAAGTCTCATTCTCTTCAAAGAACAGCTTTCCATAGTCCCTGAAATTCTAGCTTGCTTCTTTTCCTCTGCTTTCTGCACATAAAAAAATTATGGCCAGCAGAATTTTCATTGATGAAAATTCAAAGGCAGAAGCATTTAAGAAACTAAACACACTCATTCACATACCCACACCCACACCCATACCCACATAAAGAGAAAGATCCCATAGATACCTCATGCAAGATAAAGAGCTGGCAATTTGGCTCTTTGCCCAGAAAGAGAAACAGAAATACACAGCATTCTTAGAACTCTGTTGCCTTCCAAGAATCTTTTATTGGTTGAAAAAGCCAATCATTCCATTGTTGGGTAGTGGGGAATCAGCTTGCTCTGCACGCCGACTGAATGCGCACTGAATTAACCAAACTTGGGCTGCTGTTGAAAACCAACTAAAGCAAAGATCCATCTATTGATAGCTGAGGCACAAGATACTGGACGACCCCAGTGGACAGGAGAGCAGCAAAGATGAACTGAGAAGGGAGTTTGCTCCATTTCACGGAAGGCTCAGAATCGTACCCTGGGTTGGCTGGCGTTGTTCAAGATGATGAGTGGCTGTGCAAGGGACGGAAAAGTACTGGCTTGAAAGCAGCATTCAGAAAACAAACTTTGCTGCTTACAAGAGAAAAGTATGTGCAGTGCACCTCCCCTAGCGGGGTGGGGGGAGGGGTTGGTAGTCTGCTGTCAGCTTCCAAAATTGCATTTACTGAGAAACAAAGCCTGCAGACCATTGGAAGAGTAGCTGAGGTCCTAGACATGGAGGTGGGAGAGGAAGTGCCTTTGGTGTCCACTTCTTAATGTATCTATCACACTCCCTAATAATCCTCGGCATTTTTAACCCTCGTCCCACCTGGCCATCATGGACACAGCCCATGCTGCTCAAGAAGTTTTAGCATTCAGCCTGGTCACTTGGTAGGGAGCTTTTTGAGTATTGTAAGGTCCTTCTGTTTCAGTACCAAGCAGGTTTTGTATGTTACCAGGCTGTAATCTTATGCATAATTGCTAGTAAAACAAAGCTATCCTTTGACTAAGAATTTAAATACTGATGATGATGGTTTACTTTGGTATCATGACTGGTATGTTGGCTCCCTCAAGGCAGTTCAGTCTTCTAAAACAGTATTGGAAAGCATTTAAAGTATACTCTTCTGTTTGAATGTCAACCACCCTAAGTCAAGGAAGTCAGTTTCGCTGAAGTCACAGAATAAGCATCAGATCCCAACACCCAGCAATCTATGTTTATACATCGGGAAAATTACGAAGTTATTTTTCACCAAAAATTCAGAGTAGGGATGGAAACAGTAGAAAATATTTTCTTACTCTTGGTGTGTAAAGTGCAAGGGTGAAGGACTTTATTGTGAAAATAAAAAATTTAATACAGAGAAGTGTCACAAAGGATCTTGGAGTATATTAATCTAGTCCATGCACCAGAGATTTTTGGGTTGGTTCAACAGGTGAGCACAATAAATTATGCTTTGAATAACAGATAAACAGAAAAAAGTCGATAGATTCTAGATGGTACTATTAGATTCTGGATGGTACCATTAGCAATGGCACAAAATGTGCTTTTTTAACTTGGCCAAATTCTGAGAAATGGAAGCAGCTGCTGTGCCTACAGTGGGAACTCAAATGTGTCAGAACAAGGAAGGATAAAATGCCTTTTTGCAATTACTGTAATTTACTAAGAGAAGTCACTAAGAATTTACAACTCAGAAAAACCAAAAGATACTGCAGTGAGACAAAATTGACCTTTAATGTTTACCACCAGTTCGTTGTATCTTACAGAAAATGAAAACATTTTTGTCATACAGATTGGTTCTTCTCAAATCTGTACTATCAGTAAATTCCTGTAATGCTGATTTTCCACTCAAGTAGCTTAGAGACTTCGGTATTTTTTTTCATTGCACACCACTGCTGTGTCTGGTAGTAGTGTGCTATAAGTTACCTTCTCAGCAAAGCATGTCAGCAAGTCCGTCATCTTTGTCAATGCAGTATGCACCAAAAATTGGCGACTGGTTTCTTTCAACCCTCTCCTACTTAGTGGTCAGTTACTCCATGAGACCACCATATTCTTTGGAGTACTGAAGTCAAGAGACCCAGTATGGCTGCCAGCAGCCAAATGGGAATCTCCATTGAGTCTACTTCTAATTGCCAAAATATAAGCAACAGTATGATGGCATCAGATAAGCCTTTGACAGGTTCCGGCCCCCTTTCTATGAGACAGTTGAGTTTTACAAATACTTTTGTTGGCTAAAAATCACCGTGATAAAAATGTGGCAGCACTCAAAGATGGTTCCAGTGTTCATGTAATCAACTCGCTTCCATGTCTACTGTCTGTGTGTAAAATGCTTGTCTGTTGGGGTTTTCTGATGTAAGTGAAATGTGCAGATACACTTTATCCCCCATATGGGTCACAAGGGCTAATTATGGACAGGATGATGAAAACAAGATTTCCTAAGCCAATTTCTCATCTCACTCCTTGGATATTCTTGGCACCAGTGTAAGGAGCGATTTCTGAATCAGCCCGTGTCGCACCAACTTTGTGTTAGAAAGGTTAGCTCCGTACAAGCCCTCTTTCAGACATTGTCAGTGAGGGAATGGAGTAGGAAGACAGACATTAAATGAGAAAAAAAAAACAGCAAAATGAGAATATTTAAAAAGACCCCTTATTCAATTGGGAGTCCAAAAGGTATGAGGATTCCGATTCCTTTGGTTGAATCAGAAGATAAAAATTCTTGCTCACCAGTATTCATTCTGTGGAGATTTTTTTTTTTTACAAGAATGAAAATCTGGTGTGCAATTGGTATAGATTTTAATCTGCTAACAGTCACTCCAGGAATTTTGATGAGCACCAATTCCCATACTAATAAGTATTCAAAGGTTAAGAAGTACTACCATGCTAAGCATTATAAAGATAGAATTCTGTGATAACTGGAAATTATCTACTTGCCTCCATAGAAATTTCTTCTCACATTTTCCTTGTCATAGGTAATGAACGTTCCAGGAGCGCTCCCTCCAGTATCTGAGGCGTCAGAGTTGCCATTTTGGAGATAGTCTTCTTTTTAAAATACATTCATCTTACTCTAGGTCACTCGGGAAGTTACATTTATGCCGGCAATGTTGGAATTCAACCTCACAATGTCTTTGGACTTGAGTGTTGTACTATTTGCATATCCAACCAAGCTTTAAAAATGTGCATGCATACATTGTTGTCTTTTAATACGAAAGCATCCGAGGCTCTCCAGATCAGCTTTGGAGAAGGAAAGGACCTACTATTATTTACAATAGTTTGTCTAGATAACATACAAATATCTATATGGTTTCATGGCCTTCCAATTGTTCTATACCTTCCACACACGTAACCACATTGATGGAGTAAATTTATTAGAATTATGACAGCTTTTAATGCAACCACAATCAATTCAAGAAACAGATTTATTTACTCATGTTTATGGGAGGAAAATCTACATAAAACATTCAGGAAAGCACACCAGCTAGGTCATACTTGGATTATTAGACTAAATCCCATTTATTAGAACTCATTGCGAAACAATGGGAAACCATGAAATGGAATCTGAATACAAATATTGGTCCCTGTGTGTGTGTGGGGGGGTCTCAACAGTCATAAAAATGTAGGAGAACAGAGCTTTATTTAGATTGGAGCTGCCAATGTGGAAAGTTGTTTTTCTGAAGCTAGATTTACCCTTTCAGTGAAAGCCCTGAAGATTTTAGTGTAAACTCTTGGATGCTAGCTTCAGCATTTCATTTATACCTAATGGTGACTGGCGAGAAAGCAACGTCTTTCTTTTTGGGAGAAGGTTGACAACTACACTGCTGATACTTTTTTCCCAAGTTCAGGCACCAGTTGGGCTTTCTAGTGTATTTACAAATAGGAACAGCAAGAATTTTGAAACCTGGATCTTTGTTTCTTGGTTAGGCAAGAATAGAGTTATTCATTCATTCATTCGTTTTGTAATTTAGAGCTTTTTCACGTAGTGTAAATAAGAAAAAATATTAAATAGTTTAAAGTTATTTTTATAGGACAATAACATTTCATAGGCTAACATGAAGTGAAGCTGCTAAATTTTACAACTTTTCTGTCCAGCAGTTTCTCTATATAACTGCCCTGAGTAGATGCTAAATGCTGCTTAGCAAACGGCCCTTAGAATTTAAATATAACTCTGTAAAGCTACTCAAAAGTTTAAACAAGTCTCAGACATGTGTGATTGAATTAGGAGAACTAGAAGTGTCTCACTGATTAAACGTTACCTGCTTATGGAACTCTCACACTTCCTGTACGTGGGATTAGTAAGGGGTTCTAACTGTGCTTGTCACTAGGGACTGAAGTCCATGTGGATTTTCTTTTGGGTCAAAAAAAGGCAGGATTTAAGAGTAAAATACTCGTGGAGACTTGGCAATAGGAACTTTTAGAAAAGTATAGATTGTTCCCCTGTGGAACAGTTGTGTGCAATTTCTCAAGACTGTTTATGTAAAGAAGCCCATATTTCAAATCTGTTGCTCTAACTGGTTTACTGTAGTGCATTTCAAAACCGTAGGAATGTGTAAAATTTGTGCTTGTGGGAGCTGCTTCTCTGAGTAGCTTTACTTGCCTCCATTTGATCCTAGCAATTCTCAAGCTATTGCATGCCCCGTCCAGGAGAGGGTATCTTGTAGGGATGACGTAGCTTAAAAGGTTCGGCTCTAACGCCACCTTACATAGCGCTTCCCTTAAAATTATATTAATTTATAATATATATCGAATGATAGCTTTACAAAAACAAATCAATGAATTGGTCTTTATGAAAATGACTCTTTACAGTAAGTAAAAAAAAGGGTTATCACAGTTTTGGTAACTTGCATGAGTTCATATTGAAAAGAACCTTTCACATGTTCTTAATGACTTGAACACGGGGCACCCTCAGTTGTATGCTCGGAAGCAGTAGACACCATACAGCTTATGCTTTTTGTCTGGGAACCCCACGAAGCGCACGGCCGCCTCGGTAGGGCTGCAGCGCCTCCGGGGCCGAGAGATGGGGTAGCGCACGCTGCCATCGGCCAGCCAGCCGGCGTCGCAGCGGTCATACCCCAACAGCTTCCAGGCGGCGAAGATCTGGCCCACTTTGGCGATCTGAGCACCGTCGTTGAGACAGGCTTGCACTGCCTCGTCGTAGGTCAGCTTGGTGGGGTGGATCAGGTAGTAAAAGCGGCCTGTGGACAGGAGGAGAGGGGGTCACTGGGCCGTCTCCACACCGAGGAGAGGAAGCAAGACACAGGAGTCCTTCTCCACAACAGGGGGGGCAAGGAGCAGCACCCTTCAAGTTGTCAGGACGAGGGGCTGGCAATTAAATGGAGTCCCTAGGGTGTTCCCCGGTAAATCGAGTTTTTCCCTTGCCCCCTTAATATGTGGGCAGGCGTGGTCTTTGAGAGCTTTAGAAAGAAAAGGGCAATGCCAGATGCAGTTTCTGTCGGCTAATTAGTGACTCAAAAGCCCTTCTCTGGCCCTAGAGAAGACAGAATTCGCCCGTGAAAGCAAGAGCTATTGAAATTCTAGCCATAGCAGACTGGATCCCAGCACAACTTTCTGGAGAGGCAGAATTTGAATGTGAAAGGATAAAAAAAAAAATTTCCTACCATAAAAGTCCATTTAAGAAAGAAATCAAAAGCCCTCAAGTCCTTTTCAGTACAGGTATCAATAAGACATTGTTCTCCATCAAAGACTAGGGTGCGAAAATGCATAAAGTACAGGAAGTCACTTGCTGCGAATCCGACAGACTCGGCATGATAATCCAGCCCGCCTGCGCTCACTAGCAGCGATGAATTTGTTGATTGTTTTCAACTTTGATCTGCTGGAGCCCTGATGCCTCATCATTTGTTGACTGCACAGGAAAGACAGGTTCGTCACAACCCCTTCCTGGACAGCGCTAATGACTGGGGTTCTTTCTGTAAGTGTTAAACACGTGTAGAAACCAAAACTGGCTGAGTGACGTCATACACACCACTTGCAATTTTCTCTGTCGTCACAGTTAAAGGTAAAAGAGAACCAGATTCTTCTCTCTGATCATACACTGGGATGTGCCACCCTCTTGCCTCTCCTTACGCACAGGTAATTCAAGTACAAATGAATGCTTGCCCCTTCTCTAGACTAAGATGTGATAACAGCCGAGGGCCAAGTGCCCTGGAACACTGGCTGATGGTTAGTCTGTCTGGGTTCTAGAGGTCGGCAAACTGCAGCCCTGGAACCCAGCGTGGGTGTAAGCGAGATGGCGTGGAGCACAGCCATCTGCCGGGTGCTGCATGCGGCTGGCACCCGGGCGTCGACACCCAGAAGGGTGTAGAGCAGTAGAGACAGACCCTAGGGCCAGCAAAGCCTGAAACCATTTACAGTGAACGTTTGTTGACCCCAATCCTGTTCCATTTTTCCCCTGAACATGTCCGTTGGGACTGAAAAGATAAAATGATGGGATCAGGGCTTGCTTCATGGACGTGTGACCTGTGTGTTATACAAGGTCCCACACTTTTCTGCTCATTTTTTTTTTTTAGCAGAAAAACCCCCTTTCCATCCTTTTCTTCTTGGCATTTTCTTCCTATTGTTGGCAGAGAGACAAAAGAGGAAGAGACAGACTGAGGGTACACAAAGACTGGCCATCTGCTGGTTCACTCCCCACATGTTCACAACAGCCAGGGCTGAGCCAGGCTACAGTCGGGTGCCATGAACTCAATTCCCATCCCCTATGTGCATGGCGAAGGCCCAACTACTTGAGCCATCACCCACTACCAGCTGCGGTGGGCAGCCCCAGGAAGCTGGAATTGAGATCAGAGCCAGGCCTCAAACCCAGGCACACTCATATGGGAAGCAGGTGTCTTAACCACTAGGTCACAGGCCCACCCTTTGGTCATGGGGCAAATGACGAATCTGGCCCTGGGTGGCAAAGAGCCAGGAGTTGCATGAAAGCAACAACAAGGCACCAGGCTGATGCAATGTTTGCCTCTGCCTGGACTTCCGGTGCTGGTTCTACTTCACTTAGCAAAGCCCAGGCTAAGACAGCAAGCAAATCATCCATGCGAAACCTGACATTGAAACTGAAAGAGGGATACGAAAGGAGCTGAGTCTCGCGGACAGCTTGTAGTGGCAGAATCAGCAGAGAGACCCCATCCCCCATGGCAGTTAAAATGCATTTTGTAATAAAACGTGGGTGCAGTAGAATGAGTACTAAAAATAGGCCTGACTTACGTGGATATTTTCAGTATGATTTTTAAGAATTTCTTAGATCTTTTCAAACAGCCGCCACGCTTCCAAGGCTTTTTTGGGTCTTTATGCAAATAAGACCAAACGCGAAGATAGCAGTGTAGGGTGGGAAGGAAGGCGGGGCGGTGGACGTCTTACCGTTGAAGTTGGATGTGAAACAGAACACATCATATCTGCTTTTGTCTTTATCCCAGAACCCGTAGTTCCTGACGCCGGGCACCGTGTTCTGGCCCCCGCAGGGCTCCCTGGGCTTGGTGATGGGGTACTGCACTGAACCGTCGCTCAGCCAGCCGGCGTTGCACCAGTCCAGCCCGCCCCGCCAGGCGTCGTAGAGCTGGTCGAAGGAGGCGATGACCGCGTCCTGCTCCAGGCAGGCCTGCTGCGCCTCGTGGAAGTTGAGGTTGTAGCGCCCCAGGCGTGGGAAGTAGGGGAATACCACACCTGTCCAGGGGAGAAGGCAAGCGGTCAGCACAGCTCCGAGCCAAGCCCAGTTGACTCCAGCAGACAAGGGGGCGATGTTTGGTCAACTTGGAACAGTTGCTCAGCTCTAAGCACCCTGCCCCATAATTAGCTCTGGGGTTTGATGACTTCGGAGGCTCACTCCTTGGGGAAGAATCCAAGCATTGTTAGAATTCTCCTGTCTGAAGATGAATGAACGTTTGTCTGGAGGTGTTAGCTTCTCAACAGCTCTCCCCGAGAACTTACCTTGTGCTGCTGGTGCTTAACCTTAAACCGGACAGTGACTGAGCCCTTTCCACTCAGGATAAGCGCAGTGTGGCCCCAGGGGCGTGGACAGCAAGGATTGAAATTCCCAGCATTTTAGTAGTAATCATTCATATGTGGTTTGTTTTATACAGCCTTACACCTGCGCTCCTAAAACTGGCAGATACGAATTTCTCCAGGCGGCGCCGCAGCTCACTAGGCTAATCCTCCTCCTGTGGTGCCGGCACCCCGGGTTCTAGTCCCGGCTGCTCCTCTTCCAGTCCAGCTCTCTGCTGTGGCCCAGGAAGGCAGTGGAGGATGGCCCAAGTGCTTGGGCTCTGCACCCGCATAGGACACCAGGAGGAAGCACCTGGCTCCTGGCTTTGGATCAGCGCAGTGTGCCGGCCGTGGCGGCAATTTGGGGGGGGTGAACCAATGGAAGGAAGACCTTTCTCTCTGTCTCTAACTGTGCCTGTCAAAAAAAAAAATTCTCCAAAGAAAAAGGGCATCAGGTGAAAGTTAAATTCCTTCACATTTCTGCACAGTGATGCGTCCCTGCAACAGTAGCACCATGGTTATCGGTCTCAACTTAAAAAAAAAAAATTCTAAAGGCAGCATGACGTAGAGGGAGACAGAGATCGAGATCTTCCACCCCATGGTTCACTCCCCAAATGGCTGCAGTAGCTGAGACTGGGCCAGGCCAAAGCCAGGAGCCTGCAACTCCAACTGGGTCTCTCCCATGGGTGGCAGGGGCCCAAGTACATGCACAATCTTCTGCCTGCCCAGGATCTGCATTAGTAGGGAGCTGGATTGGAAGTGGAGCAGTTGACCCTTGAACCAGTGGTCACATGGGATGCTGGCATCAGAGGCGACAGCTGAACCCATTATATTACAATGCCAGCCCCATCTGTTTTAACTTTTAATGCAGTTCTTAATCTTACCTTGTTTTCCACCCTGGATTAGCACAACTAAAATAAGAGCCCTTGTTTAAAAATATTTCCATTACTACTCTTGAGCTTCTATATGTATATACTGCAAACTGAAATTAAGGTTTTCAGAAACATTCTTAGCACAAATAGGGAAAAAAAATGCTTCCCTAAACTTTTCCAACTTAATCAGCTACTGAGTAGACATCTGTTGATTATCACTGAAGAATTAACTATTTGGGCAGAAATCCCTGGTCAGTGTGGACACAGCGACTTGGCAGGTGCCTTTGGGAAGATGCCATGACTCTCCAAAAGCACCATTTCTGGTCGTTACTGCTTTTGGCCAAACAACCGCTTTCTCACCATGCTCTGCACACGTTCTGTAAAGGGTGGGGATTTGCAGATTAAAAAGCTAAGTCGTGTCACCTGCTCCACTTTGAGAACGACCACTGTTTCTGACCATCTTCCCCATAATTAACAGGACAAAGTTTCAAGTGAATTTTCCAGGGCTTGTTGTGGAGTCTTTGTGTCCACTTAAAAATACTGCAGCAGCTCCGACACGAAAGCTTGTCCCACTGACATAGTAAACTTGGTGGGTTACATCCCTGGTGCTGTTTTATGGGCCTACAGACCCTTTACTAACAGACAATTTACTTAGAGCGTCACCTGTGCACAGGAAATATTTTGACGTATTGTCTTGCAAGACTCTAGAGAAGGAAAGTGCAGTAGACTCGGGTCAGCTGCATACCCTGAAAGGCTCGTTACGGCACGTTTGTCCCCCAGGGCTGTCCAGCTGGCACCGTCCGCTACAGGCAGGGAGCCAAGAAGGCTTCCTGAGCTCCTCCTGCCTTCTCAGGTTCTTGGCCGCGGGATCTGTGAGCTGAACCAGAGCCAGAAAGCGGGAGGAAACGAGTCGGTTGCCACCGGCTCCTGCTGTGGTGAGGGGTGGGCATGCCTGCAGAGGGTTCTGTCTGGGAAGGGCTCTGTCCAGGCTCCCGGGAGGAAGCCAGCCAGCCAGATTCTGCAGTGGTGCAGACCTTGTGTGCCCTCGAGCCTCGTACCCTCTCGCAGCATCCTTGAGGATGTAATAGACGAGGCCTCTACGGTTCATCCAGTCGCCATTCCTTTGCAGCTGGATCTCAACTGAAATCTCAAAGTGCCTCCAACGGATGCAGGATATAAACCACTCAGGATGAGTTCCATTTCCCAAATGGTTCAAGGTGATAGCTGCAGAGACTGTAGGCTGTTCTAATTAATAATAATCTGGAAAATTTTCAGGTTTCAGTTCCATGTGGTATAATTTGGCGAATGTTCGTGAGCATTGAGCATCGAATTTTCTTTAGTAATTTGTCCTTCAACAATCACTGATTGTAACTGAAATGGGATTTAGTTTCTAATCCAGGATAATCTATTTTTAGTTGCTTTTAAACACTCATACAGTAATTAAAGTCAAAGCAAAATCTTATGTTAAAATTTTAGTAATTTTCATTTGCAAAAATAAATGGTCAACTTGCTATCATATCAACTCAAGGACTTCTTTAAATTTTAATTAATGCTGATGATGCTACAAAGCACATATTTCAAGTAAATCAAGGTCGACTTCTGTGCCTCACTCACCGACGTTTAAAAAGCTGCACTGTATTGTGCACACCTGGGGACTTCTGGAACTGCATGCTTGTTAGTACTTTATTTACCTATTTTACTTCCATCTAGTTAAGATTTCAACATCCCATTACAGGAACCTCCTCAGCTCTGTTGAAAAACTTTGATTTTTTACAATTGTATTATGGAGCAAATTGTTGCCAAATTTTACCCAGTATTAAAAAATACCATAAAAAACAATGAAATCCTGATTTTTGCAACAAGATTAATGTAACTGGAGACCATAAGATTAGTGAAATATGCCAGAATCCGAAAGACAAATATCACATTTTCTCTGATTTGTGGTAGCTAATATAGAGTATAAAATATTTATTGTATGTGAATGAAACACATTTAGGGACTTGATTGTTGTTTATAGCCCTTGTCTATATTTCTCCCGAAAGTGGTCTTTCTTTTGAGTTGCGGAACTCTTCACAGTCTTAGACTTAATGTTTCACTAAATAAATTAAAACTGCATTATCACAAAAACTACAAAAAGGAAGAGAGGAAGGTGGGGTGGTAGGAGAAGGGAAGTATCTTTTTCTTAGAATTGTATCTACCAACTACATGACATCTGTTCGCTTTGCAAAAAATTATAAAAATAAATATTCATAGGTAGAAAAGAAGGGCTTAGGATTATTTTCCATGTAAGATCTGATTCATTTATCCTACATAGTTATTAATTAAAATACAACCAAGGCTCTTGCCTTTTCCCTAAAGGGTTGGTATGTGTCACAAGTGGATAGATGAGGATGGCACATCACATGGAAAATAATACCAAGGGGTATGGAGAGAGAGGTCAGCTGAGGTATTTGGAGGACGTGTTATTTAAGGTTTGTGTCATATAGCCCAATTCGTTGTATTTGTTGGCAAATGAATACCAATTTGTTAGACTTTTCCAGAGTTTTTAAAGCCTGGTATACACAAAAGCTAATTTCAGTAACACCATAAAGTACATATTTCTAGTAAGAAAAAGGCAGAAACCATGTAGCACAAGTAATTTTGCCTTCCTTTATGCCTCTCATAGTGTCTACCAGAGCTGTGCATTTATCTCATTTTTCTATTTCTGAAAATTATGAGACAGTTTTTATGTATCTGGCCCCATCTTAACCAGTATCAAAGTGGTACAATTTTAGAGTTAAAGCATGATTTTTTCCTAAAGATTCATTTTATTTGAGGAGAGTGCAAGAGAGATCTTCCACCTGCTGGTTCATTCTCCAAATGGCGGCAATAGCCGGTGTTGGGCCAGGCCAGGACGAAGCCAGGAGCTGCATCCGGGTCTCCCACATGGGTGGCAGAGGCCCAAGGACTTTGGCCATCCTCTGCTGCTTTCCCAGCCTCGTTAGCAGGGAGCTGGACAGGAAGTGGAGCAGCTCTTTAATCGTTAGAGTGCTTTCCATGCCTGCTCCTCCCCCCATTGCCTGCACACTTTTTGTATTTGAGAAGGTAAATGCTTATGTGGAAAATTTGTTTGTAACCTTGGCATTAGACTCCCTATAAGAGATCATGTTTAGCAGGTACAGACAGACACATTTGCAAATATTTACAAAACAACATGTGATAGAGCTATCCTGGAAGTCTGTACAAGATACTCTAAGAATATCGCAGTCATGAATGGGGGTATTGACCAGCTCTCATGGGCACACTGGTGAGTTCAGTATGACCAAAGGACAGGTGCCAAATTGTCTAAGTAATTTGGGGGCCTTTCACTTCTGAAGCTGTAGCTGCTAAATGCTGTGCCTTTCTACAATTTCTACTCCCTCCCAACCCCATCAGAACTTCTCCCTCCTGTGATCATAGTGGAGACAAGGTTAGACTTCATCCATGGCCCTTGGTTATCAATGTGCAGGTCTAGCCACAATACCTTTTCCTTAAGTCTCAATGAAGGAAATGAGCAGAACAAGTAGTGCATATGACTATAGCAATCTGTACTCTTAGGTTACTGAATTCTGCATCATTTTGTTAAGAGTCTTAAATGAAAACAGTCTTGGAATTCTTTGTATCTCTTGGCACCAAAGCAGCAGCTGTAAAGATATTGACCAACTGAATCAGTGTCTTAGAGCACACTCACTCGGCTCCTATGCATTTCCTGCGATGGGGGAGTGGAACCTAAGCCTGGAGACCACGGAGATTCGGGATGGTTCAGGGTTAGTCAGGACACAGCTTGTTCCCTTTAGCACTTCTAACTGTGCCCTGGAAGAAGCCTTGACTTCATGGTGCCTTCCCCTCTACCACATGCAAAATCTGATCTTCAAACTATGGAAGAGCAGAATTCACACGCAAAGCCAGGACACCCAGCAGTGGCATCCAATGAGAATTTAGAAATCCATTTTTTTTTTTTTTTTGACAGGCAGAGTGGACAGTGAGAGAGAGACAGAGAGAAAGGTCTTCCTTTGCCGTTGGTTCACCCTCCAATGGCCGCCGCGGCCGGCGCACCGCGCTGATCCTAAGCCAGGAGCCAGGTACTTATCCTGGTTTCCCACGGTGTGCAGGGCCCAAGCACTTGGGCCATCCTCCACTGCACTCCCTGGCCACAGCAGAGAGCTGGCCTGGAAGAGGGGCAACCGGGACAGAATCCGGCGCCCTGACCGGGACTAGAACCCGGTGTGCCGGCGCCACAAGGCGGAGGATTAGCCTATTGAGCTGTGGCGCCGGCCGAAATCCATTTTTTCATTGTAGAATCTGTCCTGGGAGGGCGGGGGAGCTTCTGGGATACACACACCGAAAGTGTAGTCGGATGTATGTCAGGAAGCAAAGTGTTGTATCAGTGCAGCCAGCATTCATCGCTCTGCGTCAAGTTAACGCCAATGTTCATGGAAAACAAGATGTCTGGAGATGCATGATAAACTAAGGAGAGGTTTCCCCGACAGGGCTGGGCAGTGTCCAGTCTCTGGATTGGGTGATGCCTATGAAATCCTTTGGTTTTGCCCCAAGACAACCAGAGGGGGACTCAAAATCCAATACATCTTTAGCAGGCTAATGTTTAAGTTGACCCTGCGAATAATGCTATAAATATCCAAATGTCCCTTGCAGAAAACATGTCTCCCTCCCCTTCTAAAGGGTGAGTGCTGGAGAGAGGCGAGGTGAGGGTGGGTGAGAACATTTTCAATTCATACAGCTTTATGCACAAATTGTTTTTGAACCTGCTGAAGAAATGCTGTACTTAAGAAACGAAATTTCCCCCCCAAAATGCCTTGACCATTTGGTATCCAAAGTATAAGGCACTCTGGGCCATTGGGGAAAAAGTACTCCTTTATAAGAATTTTTAAACGAATCTAGAGGTTACTTTTTTGTTAAGTTTTTGCAGAGATTCTACGGAACACAATTACGTATATCTTAGTTAGCAGATGTCTTTTATAATACTAGTCATTGCTTTGAAATGGAGATAATTTTAGAAACATAATAAAGAATCCAATCTGAATTTCTCCATAACCATATAATGGGATTTAAATTTTGAATAGCATAAGGCAGTTTCTGAAAATGATTAATTCAGTTCCAAGGCCTGTGCCTCCTAGTTGCAAATAGTTTCAATTTTGGGCAAAAGCATTGTGTGCACCTTGCAAATATGCAAGCTGGAATTACAAGGCTGACCGCAGAATACAAAAGAATCAGAAACAGGCTGTGGTGGAGTTCCGGTTTGTCCTACCGTTGCCATGGCAACCACTAGATACTCTTCATCACGAGAAAGAAAGAGCCATGATTAATGATCACGTCCAAGTTCAATACGATTTATAGACACCTACCTTGTAAGTCTAACGCTACCACGGCAGTGTCGTCTTCCAGCCCTTCAATCACCTCACACTTGTATCTCCCATAATCCTCCAGGGTGAGGCCGGTGATGACAAGGGACGCGTCGTTCTCACTGCCACCCTTCAGGAACACTCTGCCCTGGTAGCCTCCGTAGGTTTTCTGGTGGTATCCCATGGAAACAAAGACATCCACTTCCCTGAGGTAATCTGAAGTTAGCTTGGTCCACTTGATTCGGATTTTGTGGATTCCTGAGCCGAATGCTGTGGGGTCTCGGTAGAATTTGCACGGCAGGGTAACATTGCCACCACGGTGTGAGAACACCTTGGCCTGCTCTGCTTCCACCAGGAGACGGGGGCCGTTTTCTGCTATAATTAAAGACAGAAGAATCATGAGGGCGCTTTAGGAGGTACTTTGTACAATGAAATGTGCTATGCTTATAGGCCATCTGACCAGGGATAGCTTTGGGCGATGGTTTACTCCACTGAGCCTGGGTCGGGTCATGTAGAAAGTCTTTCCCATTTCCTGGAAGGCATGTGTAAGGTGCTCATGTCTCTAAAGCACTGGGGAAAAAGGTGTGCATTGTAGTCACTACAAACATTGGATACAAAATCTATTGCTACTCGAAGGTCAGTGATGTTGGCATAGGTTCTGTGTCTTCCATTTTTGTGGTTATGTTGTCCTTTTATATTTGATGTCAAAAATGTAGGAACAATACCAGGAGACATGGTAGAGTTCCATGAGTATTTCATCAAGATAAACCAAAAAAGTTCCAGGGTCCAGTATGCCCTGCTGAGCTTTCTAATACGATAAGTCTTTACTACAGTTATATAAAGAATGGGGTTTACTTTCTCTGCACTGTTCTGGCCAAAGAACTCAGGTTATCCTTACATGGTAGCTTCTGTCCACACCCTTACCCGTAGTAGTCTATTCTGGAGTATTTCAAGTAACATACGTTTTATTCTCACACATGGGCTAAACAATACAGGGATATTTTTAGTGAGTGCCTTTGAAAAATTCCAGAAGAAATACATTCCTCAAAACCTGAATGCTGAAAATGTAACCAAAACTCTGATTGGCCCCTCCCTCCTGTCTTTACTTCCTTAAATATCCCTCCAATCCCTCTTCTTTGTTTTTCTACAAGGTCTTACCTGCAGTTATCTTACGCTTCCACCTTGTTTTGCCTTACCCCCTCCCCTTCTTTAGCTCCTCCCTCTTCCAAGGACTTCAGTGCCTGCCCAAGAGCAGGACAAGGATCCAAGTCGTGCCCAGTCAGCAGGGCAGTGATTTTCAGGCCTTGGCTTTCTCTGGGATTTCCCCTGGTGAGCCCACGGTGCTTTTGACCTTGACGCACGCTCTCAAGGATGGGATATAAGAAATGGCCACGTGCACCTTCCTGTCCAAGCGCAGCTTGCAAGAGCTGCTGGAGCTACTTTTCCTGAGGCTCAGCGGCCCTCCTGCCTTAGGCGAAAGGTACTGGAGAGTTGTTGGCCATGAAACAGTCCAGCCAGGCAGTAAGCCCTGGGCAGAGCAGCCGCCCACCTCCAGGCAAATTCCAGTACTCGGTGACATAAGGGCATGTGTAAGATGCTGACTTCAACATAAAAAGTGTCCAGAAAAGACCCAGTATGTCTATTTTGATCATGCAGCAGTCAGAATTAGTATTTAAAAGTGGGCATATCATTTCTGACAGTCCTCATTTTCCAGACCTGAAAGGCTTCTCCGTGTCATTCACGCCTTCAGTTTCAACAGATAATGAAAGCGGAGGAAATGGCTTCACTTAGCATCTACCTAACATGAATCACAACTCCAGCTCCACAGCATTTCCTTTACAGTCCATTCTGTATTTTCCTGTTTAGACTTAGGGAAGCTCAGGAGATAAAAGCTCAATCCACCCCACTCTATCCTACATACCATTGGCCTTCTACGACAGTCTAAGGGACTGAGCGCGAGTTCTACCTGCACACTGGCAGTGTCTTCTTTCTGGGAGGAGGAAAATGTGGCAGGTGCGACCACAGACCCAGGATGCCAGAGGGGGAGGGGGGGTCTCCTGGGAGCTGAGCTTAAGGTGGTATGGATTGAGTTTAGATTGGACACAGCTATAAGGAGTCAGTTTCACGGTCCTTTCAAGTTGTTTAAAGTCAAAATTGACATCCACATGCACTAGGAACGAGTATTAAAGAACGGGGCTTTAATGATGTACAGACCTGGTTAACCTCATCTCAAATTACTAATGCTGTAGCCCACTGGCAAGGTGTGCAGCCCCAAAGATCCACTTTGCATCTGTGTGAATTAGGGGTAGCTATTCCTACCACGTAGAGCTGACCTAACGTACATAGAGCCCTTGGAACAGCGGCTGACCAAATAATGCATGAGTGTCCTAGCTGCTCACTGTTGCTACTACGCAGATTCTGCCTGGTATTTGAGTATGATATGGGCCAATATTGGGCCCAATTTCTGTACACACTAACCTTTATAGTCCCACTTCTCAAGTTTGGAACCATGTGCAGTGAAGAAACACATAAAATACCATCTGTGTTACAGAGGAGACTTGGAGACTTGGGCCGCTTGCTGTAATCAAAAGCTGTTTCTCAACGAGTACAAGGTCTGACTGTTTTACAAAGCAAAGAGCTCAAGCAGACAGCTAAACTCCAAAGGACCTAAGACTGCTCATGTTTCCCCCTGTGCTTAAGTGCAAATCGAGTTGTATTTTCCAAGTGCAGGCCTCTCTTTCTCTTTCTCACTTCTACTCCAGCATTCTGAATAGAGGATGAACTAACTATACATGGTATCACATCAAACAACACCAATCCCCTGACTTCACAGAAAATAGTTTTTCTAATTCCTTTCTTGGTGGTGGTAGCGGGACGAAGGGTTGTTGCTGAGGCAGTAGAACTCCAGGAAGGATGTAAAACATTGAGTGACTAAGGCCCATTTCTGCATCTCACAACAGATGGACCTGGGTTTGACTGCCAGCTCCAGACCCGGACTCCAGCTTCCTGCTACTGTGCACCTTGGAAGGCAGCAGTAATTGCTCACATTGGTCCCTGCCGCCCGTATGTCAGACCTGGACTGAGTTCCTGGCTCCTGACATCAAGCGCTGGCCTGGCATTGGCGTTGGAGAAATGGACGAGTAGATGAGAGCTAGCTAGTAGTCAGTCTGTCATAAAGACTGTCATCAGGTTCCATGCCAGAGGCTGTCATTGCAAGCATCAGACAGGAAGCACACTGAGCTGGATGAGAAAGGGAGGACAAAGACAGCAGAGAAGGGAACCTGGAGCGATGCTGCCCACCTCTGCAGTCTTGCTGAGAACAAGTCTTGAATCGGATCATTGCACTTGAAATCCTGCATCAGCTTACAATTAAACCTAAGTTAATAAAAACACCCCGGTCATCAGCCTCAGTACTTCTTTTCATGGAAGAATAGAACTAGGTAGCACTCTAAGTGCTTATGTTCCCTTTTCTTTCAGTGCACAAAGGTGAACACAGACCCTCGAGTATCTTGTTGAAAACCTTGCTGACTGTGTCCTGAAGTGAGGCCATATGTCCAAGATGCATGGCTAAGGGGACCGAGTTTGCAGAACGTGCAGTTTGTAAGTAGGCAAACTCCCTGTTTCCATCTGTGTGGGTCCCTGACGGGCTCACATGACTCGATGCCCTCCAGAGCCCGGAGTTGTCTCCAGGGGAGACAGTAGGGCCTGCTGGGAGCCCTGACGGCCCTCGCTGAACCTCTTGATGATATCTGCTGTGAGGTCCTGAGGACACCAAACAACGAGAGTGATGTCCAAACAACTGACCCTTGCTGTGTAACTTAGACAAAGCCTTTTAAAGAGGAAGAGGCAGTTTCAGAAAAACAATTTAAAAATATGGCATTGGACCATTGCTTACTGTTCTCAGTTTTTTTTTAAGGTTTTATGTTTGAAAGGCAGAGTAACAGGGAGAGAGAACGTCCACCTGCCAGAGTTGGGCCAGGCTAGGAGCCTTGAACTCCATCTGGGTGTCCTACATGGGTGGCAGGGGCCCAACTACTTGGACCATCATCCACTGCTTTCCAAGGCACATTAGCAGGCAGCCAGATCAGAAGTGGAGCAGCCAGGACTCACACCAGCACTACAACAGGGGATATTGGAATGTCATAACACCAGCCCCTGTTCTCACTTCTATTAAAAATAAAGAAAATATTGAGGTGGGGAGCAGTGTACACCAGGGGAATCCAGGTAACAGAAAAAGGAAGTTTCTGTAGATCAGATTTTTTAAAGGTAATGTGGATTGTCTGAGATAATCAGCGATGATGGTGGTTGTGTTTTCCGCCGTTCTGAAAGTGAAGCAGGCTGTAGACTTTTGGATTTCCTAGACCAATGAAAACAAGAACAACTGGAAAACCTACTTAATATAGCTAAATAAAATGCTAAGCAAGGACATTCAGTATCAATCCCTACCCCCATCATTCAAATTGGTTTTCTTGTGACAAAATATATATTTAAAAGTGTGTCATTTTAACCATATTTTACAATTTAGTGTCACTCGCTACTTTCATCATTACCACTTGTTCAACCATCATCCCTCCCTCTTTCCAAAATTTTTTCAGCTTTCCCAACAGTAAACTAATAATTTCTTTCCAACATGCGTAACTGAGAGGCATAAACCTAATTGTCAGCTCCACGATCAACCATTTGGAAAACCCTGACAAGGTTTTAAAAATATTTCCTTCTTCTGCCGCATCTGCCATCACTCTGGTAGGTTTGGATGTGCAGGACTAACACTTTGGAGGATGTTTTTTCCTTATGGTAGCCAAAGCCTGCAGGAGGAAAAGAAACCAGAATGGATTCTAGAAGCTTTTGCCATGCTTACTACTGTCTGCTGACATCAGTCATAGTCGTGGCTGTGTGTTTTACGCAGCATCAGTACAGTACCTTTTGGCAATAAGAATGTACACCTGAAATACACCTGTGCAGAGAAGGCCTATGCTCCCCCCGTGGGAGCGGACAGCACCGGAGCTTGTTAATGGAGAATACTGTTTCAAAATAAGAGACATAGAATTTAAGTAGAATATATAATTTGGATGTTTTGTCTCTCATCGCACCTGACACATTACATTTGACTTGGATATACAATTTGGGAAAAATGTAAGTGCCTTATTCACTGAACTTTGTTATTTTGTTTCTTTCACACTGAATGAATTTAATTGTTCTTCCAACTGCGCACCACGTCAGGTAACGTCCAGCCTTGGGTCCTGTTTCTGATGGGTCTACTTGGTTTGCATCTGAAACCTTTCCAAGTGCCCTCCCCTTCACTGCTCTTTCGGAGGGCTGACTGCTTCCCATTGGTCAGCAAAGCTGGAGCTTGCTTTTCCAGCAGGTCTAGGATGCAAAGGATTTCGAGTCTTTTCGCCAGCAGGGCGGACCCGAGAGCACAGATGGGAAACTAGCTAGTCCTTGCCCTGGGCGCTCAGGTGCGTGGAGCTGGAATCTTGCATTTGTGCCTGGCCCCTCTCTGCTCTCAGGAGGAGATCAGACTTTGACCTGGAGGAACATGAGCAACTGTGCTTCTCGCCATTTGTGTTAACTCAGGGGTCCGGTCTCTTATAAACCGTGCCTGAGGGGTGAGGTGCGTAGGGAAGGTGTGAGAGATACTCACTGAGTTCTCAGCCATATTTTTAACATTCTTGGATCGTGCAAATGTGTCGGCTCTATGCAAACTAAACAAAGATATGAAAGTAAATAAAAAAACAGATAACTGATTGGCCACTGTGGGCCACATTATTGTCCAAGTTTCATTCTAAAAAATAAGGGTAAATACTGTATTTTCAGACCCTGAGGGGGGCAGGAATTTTCCTTCCTGAAGGACATCTTTGACCTTTGCCATACAAAGCTGATGAGGGTGAACTTGTCTCCTTAAACGGGTACTGGGAGGTCGTAAGGAACTCTAAGGGTCAACGGAATCTAGTGTAGAAGCCACTGTTCTGGGATGTATACCTGTTACTGTACTGAAAAACACCATCTCTTCTTTAAAAATAACAGAAAGGGGATTAAGATTTTACTTAATGCAGAGTTACAGAGAGGCAGAGACACAGAGAGAGAGGTCTTCCATCTGTTGGTTCACTCCCTGGATGGTCACATAAGTTGGAGCTGGGCCAATCTGAAGCCAGGAACTTCTTCCGGGTTGCCCACGCGGGTGCAGGAGCCCAAGGACTTGGACCATCTTCTACTGCTTTCTCAGGCCACAGCCCAGAGCTGGATCAGAAGTGGAGCAGCCGGGACTTGAACCAGCACCTATATGGGATGCCAGTGCTGCAGGCGGCAGCTTAGCCTACCATGCCACAGCACCACCCCCCTTAATTTTTTTCATCAAGAAATCACCAAGTGTGAGGGAGGGGAACTCTGTTCTGCTGATGAAGTACTTTAGGGACTGTTGCCTTCCCATGTTAACGATCATTTCCCTAGTTTTCTCAGTAGTGGTTAGTGGTTAACAAACAGACCAGGGGCTAACGCTGTGGTGTAGCAGGTAAAGCCACCACCTGCAGTGCAGGCCTCCCATATGGGCGTTGGTTCAAGTCCCAGCTGCTCTACTTCCGATCCAGCTCTCTGCTGTGGCCTGAGAAAACATCTGAAGATGGCTCAAGACTTTGGGCCCCTGCACCCACGTGGGAAACCCAGACAAACCTGCTGGCTCAGGATGGGCACAGATCCAACCATTGCAGCTATTTGGGGATTGAACCAACAGATGGAAGAGTTTCTTTCTCTCTCTCTCTCTCTCTCTCTGCTCTTCTGTAACTCTGCCTTTCAAATAAATAAATCTTAAAAAAATAAGAATGGCCCATGCCTCTTGTGATATGTCACCTAAACTTTCTGTGCCTTGGCTTCCTCATCAGTAAAAAGTAAGGCAAGCCACCTTCTCAGGGTTCTTGTGTGGCTTGGATGAGATAATACATGTTTAGAATTTAGCCTAGTGCCCGGCCTACAGCACGTGCCCAGGCAATGGTGACTCAAACACAAGCAGTTACTGAATGTCCAGTGGGCCACGGGGGAAAACTCTTCCATCTTCTATGCTCCAAAGACAGTGCCTAGAGACTTCTGGCTCTTGAGGAATTCGCCTTCCAACCACCCCGGATGACTCTCCCAATCTGGTGGAGTTTTGAAGGGCACTGGTTCACCCCCCAAAACTACTCGGCTATATGCAAACTACACAAAAATATGAAAGTAAGTCAAAAACAACAGATTGGCAACTGTGGGCCACATTATTGTCCAAGTTTCATTCTAAAAATAAGGGTAATTACTATTTTTTTCAGACCCTGATGGGGGCAGGAATTTTTAGTGCGTAGTGCAGAGCAGTTCTGGACTACCCCTGAGAAGACTTAAGCAAAGTTCTGTCATTTTCTGCCTCTCATCTGTATGCCCCTTCTCCCCTACCTCCCGTCTCACTGTGGATCTCAGCTGATCTGCACCTGGGGTAGGCATGGAAGGTGTGTGCTGCCCGCTGACACCTCACCTTACTGCGCCTCATCCTACCATTAAACATCACCATGGTATGGGGCCAGCACTGTGGCATAGAAAGTAAAGCTGCCGCCTGCAGTGCCGGCATCCCATATGGATGCCGGTTCGAGTCCTGGCTGCTCCTCCTCCGATCCAGCTCTCTGCTATGGCCTGGGAAAGCAGTAGAAGATGGCCCAAGCTCTTGGGCCCCTGCACCCATGTGGGAGACCTGGAGGAAGCTCTTGGCTCCTGGCTTCAGATCAGTCCAGCTCCAGCCTTTTGGGGAGTTAACCAATGGATATAAGACTTTGTCTCTGTCTCTCTCATTCTTTGCCTTTCAAATAAATAAATCTTAAAAAATAGGCAACACTCAGGTAAGGACAGAGAGCTGCCCATGGAGGGACTCAGTGAAGATTAAAAAATATATAAAAATCACCATGGTGGTTTTGGGAAAATGTCCTTTCAGACCCAAGAGCAAACGTCTTTTCAAAGTGACTATTTTCTTCTGGAACAAAGTGAGATACATGGACTGGGATAGGATGGGGCCATTTTTACCCATTTCCTCAAACAAAAGGCACCAAGAGCAGGCTTAGCCAGGGGCTGTCTGGTCCCTTGTGGGTCAGGAGCTGAAGAGCAACTGCCTAAGTGCGAATGCAGATTTAGATCCTGATAAAGGGCTTGCCTGGGCCCAGCTATGCAGCGCCCCCTCTAGGTCTGCACAGGCTGCTGCTTACCAGGTGTAGGGAGTGGTTCCACACCTTCCTAAGAATTATGTTCCCCAGTCCTGATTCAATTAATTCAACAACTGGAGATGATTATAGCACTTTTGTCAACTTAGAACTGTCTGCTCTGGTTAACACTGTTCAAAATGTAAATCTATGTTATGTTAAAGATTTATAAAGGATTACGTTCTACCTTCTTATTTTAGACTGAGAAAAAAGTGAGGGTATTGTAGATTAAGGAATGCAAAAGAAAAAATTAGAACATTCCCGAAATATGTTGAATGACTTAAGATAAACATGCTTTCGAGGATTGTAATAGAGGTTTGTTTCCAAGGTTATAAAGAAACAAAACATTAGCATGAGTCATTCTTTATGCCACTGTAATTATTCGTACTCCTTCCTTACCTAAAATAGGCCTTGGGGCTGGCGCTGTGGCACAGTGGGTTAAGCCACCACCTGTGAGGCCAGCATCCCATATGGGCGCTGGTTTGAGTCCCAGCTGCTCCATGGCTGATCTAGCTCTATGCTAATGTGCCTGGGAAAGCAGTAGAGGATGGTCCAAGTCCTTGGGCCCCTGCCCCCACCCAGGAGTACCAGAGGAAGTTCCTGGCTTGGGTCTGGCTCAGCCCTAGCTGTTGTGGCCATTTAGGGAGTGAGCCAGTGGAT